GCCTCCACACCAGGCACGTCTGGAAACATCAGCATTTCACAAGGTGGTATTTATGTATGTTTCAAAGCGCTAAGTAGTACTCTCACTATATAAACATGTAGTTAAAAGGGCTCACCAGATAGCTAAGTGGACTAAAGCGCCTGCTTAGGCAGAGCACAGGGGACAGGAGTCGATCCCAGGTGCCATGCCGGCCCCGCCCCCAAGGCATGCTGAGACAGGCATTGAGACTTGGCGTGGTGACACAAGCCTGTAATCCCAGCGCTTGGGAGGTGGAAAACAGGAGGATCACTACGAATCTGATCTACATAGTGAGACCCTGTAGACCCTGTACTAAACACATTTAAAAAAAGAAAAAGAGAAAAAAAAAGTAGCAAAAATATAAAATACAGCCTAAAAAGATGCATATAAATTAATGCAATGGTTGCTTTTGATGAGAGAAAGGGTGTAAAAAAAAAAAATTCACAAAATGGCTAAACCATAATTTTAAAACTGGTAGTATTATGCTTCCTTTAAATTTTATAACATGGGGCAAGGGAGATAGCTCAGCAGAATAAGCATTTGCCTGGCAAGCACAAGGGCCTGGATTCAATTCCCAGTTCTGCCAAAAAAAGAGTAATAATCATAATAAATTTTATAACATCAAGCAAAAACAAAATACTGAGCAGCTGTCTTCCGGACTGTTGGGTACACAATATTTGTGATATTCCTCATAATTTAACCTTGGAAAATACAACTGATAAAATATAGCTCTGCTTCCACTGAAACCTAAAACCTTATTATGAAGAAATTTTCACTCCAGAGTTCCTCAAAAATTAAGATATGATCCTTTATTTTACCCAGGAATAAGGAACCCAATTTGTCTTTTAACCAAGAAAGCTATCTGGTGAGGAATCTGTGCTCTCAAAGATTTTATGAGAAATGCCAGGTATAGACTAAAAAATATTATAGTGTAATTGCTCTGGAATAAGCAAACAGAGAGATCAGCTTTATTTATGCCAAACACATAAATTAGAATGTCTACTGGGGCCCAGCATAGTGGCACATTTGTAACCCCAGCAATCTGGGAAGCTGAGGCAGGAGGATCACAAGTTTGAGCCCAGTGTGGGCAACTTAAGTGATTCAGAAAAATCTTACCCTTCACCCCAGATAAGTCTGGGATGTAGCATAGGCCATGGATTCAATCCCCAACATCATGTGTGCGCGCACGCACAGCCCCCACACCTATCGGCTGTATCTTAAATCACGCTGTCCACCCATCTCCCAATTCCACTTTCCAAGCTGTCAGAGCACACATACCAATGGCATAGTTCAGTGCATATTCTTTTCTGAAGAAAACTCGGCATAGCTCCTGTTTTGCCTTTGCAGCCTCTGAGATTTCTAAAGAAGGAAGGAACAATTACAAATCAAAAAGGTATTTTCTAGCCAAGATGGCTGAAAATCAATTAAAAGTACTATGATAATTAAATACTGAAGGGAGGAGGGATTCTAAAACTGCCTGGTACAGTTTTGAAGTGACCCATGCCTCCGATGTACTAAGGGATCCACAGTCCAATGTCAAAGCTTCTAGACAAACTCCTTATTCCTTTTCCTGAGATACTATGATTTCACTTGCGTGGCTGAGTTTATCTCCAACCACAGCTCTCGGCTCTGTTACTCGAACTTCTCTTCCGCACAGCAGGGCACACACTGTAATCTTCCCTGCTGTCCTGGTGTGGAGCCAATCACCAAGCTATTTTCTGGCTCATCTGGTCTGAGCGCAGGTGACGGGTCCTCGTCTGAGGCATCTTTCCCAGGAAGAGCAGCAAAGGCCTGCAGACAGCAAGCAGGAGCCAGCTGGACTGCTGATCGACTGCTCTGGGTCTCCCTCCTCAGCCCGCCGGAGCCCCTGGTCCATCAACTGCTCACGCGCCTCCACCACGCTATGCAGTGAATTCTGCATGAACCCCAAGGACTCAAACACATGGTTTCGAAAGCAGGTATACAGCTCCACGCTTTTCCCTCACACCTGCTTACATGCATGTCTTTGTCTGTGTCCTGCACAATAAAACACTAAATGGAAGTGTTCTCTCAAGCCCTGTGAGCTGGCCCAGCAAATTAACTGAACCCAAGAAAAGGATATGGGAATCAACACTAAACCCGGCAGGTCAGAAGCACTGGTCACACAGCCTGGGACTTGCAATGGGCATCTAAGGTGGGTATGGGGACAGCACCCAAACAGCACCTCCTCCGGGGCATGTCCGGCTAGAAAGCATATGAGAAACTAAGGAAAGAGGATGAGCACATCACACTGGGCAAAGAGCAGGTTACACAACATGACCATCTTGTCAGGGGCTGTGACTAGGAGAAGTTAAGGTCGTCTGCTCTAAAATATAAAGTGGACCTTGTGCCATAACCAGACATTTTGTTTAGGATTAGTGTCACAGAGAAATACCTGAATTTCAGAGGAGTACATATATAATAAGGAAAAAAAATCTCTCGTCTCATATTCTAATTAAGTCCTAAATTTTTTAAACTCTGTAAGAATTAACTTGTAACAAGAAATTCCAAAGAATAAGGCAAATCACAAATTACCTTAAAATTTTCCAGCACCTTCTCAGTTCTAGTGGAGGAAAACACTTACATGGGGCAGGGGAACAGCTTACCTCTGACATCACCCCCGGCACAGAAGGCCTTTCCTCCAGCCCCCTTTATAATGATCAGGCAAGTTTCAGGATCTTGCTCCCACTTCTGTCAAATGTAAAGGAAGAACGTATAAGCACACTGTAAATGCAATTCAATGAAGACATATCCATATGCACAGGCACGCACATACATGCACCCTTGGGGCACCTATCCACCTCCTTCTAGAAAGCACACATGGAAGAACAGAGTCCACCTCTTCCAATCGTGGGGTCAAGGTCATTTTCTTCTCTGAGATAAAGTAGAGGCAAGTATAACAATGCTGCCAAATGAGCATATTTTACAATCCCAATTTCATAACATATAAATACCTGCCATAACTGAGACCAAGATGAATAAACGGTAGTTTACTCATACTTGTAAACCTGGTGAACAGATCAGTGCTGCCAAATAGAGGAGTAATCTTTCTACTGTGATATAGGGCTATCTTCCTCTGAAAAATTTGGAGGATTCAGAATGAAACCACTGACACTGACTGAATAAGCAAATGATTTGGGATTGGTAAGGACCGTTAGTAAGTAGGCAGTGGAGGACTGAATGGAATAGTGCTTACTTTCCCAGCTGCTGTGAGGCCCCGAGTGTGATTCCCACCACCACCAAAACATCAAAAGGAAAAAAATTAAGATGGATGAAATAAGACCCAAAAGCCAATGAAATGCAAAGGACTAGAACAATGGTCACAATGAAAAATTAGAAAAATTAACCGGACTTCTATACATTCTGTACTTAGAGAATAAAAACATAAATATATGAAGCAATGTAGCCAGGAAAGTGACTTTCCAAAGAATAATGCAATAATGAATAACAAAAACAAAAACATTACCCTAACATCAGTTTCTGCTTTCTTGTCCTCTAATTCCAATCTCCAACAGCTGACTTAACTGCTGTGTGCCATGACTGAGGACAGAACTAAATGAGACCTAAACAGAATGGAAGAGACTCAACAAAACTTAAGGAGCAGAAGTCAGAACTTGAGCAGCACCCACACAATGGGCTCCAAACGCTACTTCATCTTTGTATCCACGCTACGACCGATCACCGTCCTCATTCACAGCTGAGGCAAGGGAGGCAGGAAGAGAGTCACTTTTCCAAATTATGCAGGAAGTCTGAATCTAAGTTTCAAACACAAGTATTCTGACTGTAAATCCCACATTTTTCTACGATCTCACAGAACTCACTCAGAAGTTTATGGCATTCTCTAAGAACAAGTATGCCTAACAGTCTTAAAACAGTTCTCTTGAAGACGGGCACAGTGACACACATGTGTAATTCCAGCACTCCTGAAGGCAGGAGGATTTCAAGTTCAAGCCCAGTCTGGGAGCTCAGTGAACACCTCTCTCAAAAAATGTAGCTCAACGCACAGGCCCTGGGCGTGGCTTGCAGCCCTGGGGGAAGCTGTCTCCCAAGCAAAGGCTTTCCCAGAGGCCAGTTATACAGAGCCACACACTCAGCTCTAGGAGGCAGAGCGGCAGAGCACAGAGAGAGGTCTGGGCGACGGCAGCTGGATGAGTGGAAGGGCAACACACTCTCTGTGCTGAAGGACAACTCTCAGCACAGCTGCGAGCTCAAGAACCAGGGCAGGTACGAGACCCAAAGGTCTACGGCAGTAGAGGCCACCTGTCAGAAAGGATCCACACAGACACCTTCAGAAAACGACCCACCTTTATCTGTGCATACATCTGCTGCACCATCTGAAAAGTCAGCGTGTTGAGGAACTTGGGCCTGTTCAGCGTCATCACGCCGGCACAGCCTTTCCTTCCGAACAGCACGTCTCCGGCCGCCCCAGCAGACCCTGACATCCTCTGTGGAAACAGGACAGTGATGCTCTTGTTGAGCCCCATCAGAACATGCGCTCCAGATGCGCAGTTTTCATGTTGTTCACTACAGGAAGGAGCCGGGCGTGGGGGCGCATGCCTGTTATCCCAGGTCTCAGGAGGCTGAGGCAGGAGGATCCTTGGGAGTTTGGTGCCAGCCTGGGCTACAAAGTGAGTTCAGGGCCAGCCTGAGCTACATAGCAAGACCCTGTCTCAAAAAGACCAAAACAAACAAGCAAAAAGAATGGAAACTTATATACATCTAATGAAGGTTTCTAAAGTTAGACTCTGTGAGTAGACAAATT